AAACTCATAACATTGCATCTAAGTAGTCCTGCATCATTAATATTAACTTTCAATCTTTCACATCCAAGCTAGAGATAGACAATGAATGTTATCAAAGATAAAATGTTCAAAATAACAATAATAATAATAATTTTAAAATAATTTTAAATGGTAACAATACACACACAAAATTCGATTCCAACAGTAAGCCAACCAAAGGATCAAACCAAGGATGGAGATGCTGAGCCCCATGAGGTACGAACAAAGCAAACATGGAAAGTGATAAGCTCAAATCAAAACATATGAGTTTTGTGACAGTAAATTTCACGCACACTAACTCTACCAATGCCAGAAAGACCAAGATTGTTTCTTCTAACTTTTCATTCATAAATTAAAACATGAAAAGGAGTGATATTTCTATATCATTCAGTGCATGAAAGTACAACATCTAAATTATGAAACATTGATTTTAGAAGAGTGAAATGTCAACAACCTTACGAGAATAATGAGTTCGATTGAGATAAAGTTCACATAATAAGAGAAAACTAGTAACATGAACAAGTGCAATCAAATCATCATAAAAATCATATCTTCTGATTGAGTAAAACTTACAAAGGGAATTGACCACCAGCTCTAGAAAGACTAAGATTATTACTTCACATGCTTGTTTGAAATCATTTTTTGTTTTTTCTTTATGACCAAAACATGTTCAATGAATAACTTATCGTTGGTTTTGTTTCCTTTTTTTTTTTTTTGAAAAATAAATCAAGTTACTTCCAAAAAGCACACAAAATAATTTTTAGGTGCTTCCAAACCACAAAGTAAATCAACTTATGTGATATTCAACCTAAACAAAAAGAAAAACAACATATATTTAATATACCAAATATGCTTTTATTTCATATCAAACATAAACAAAACCAAATAAGTCAATTGATGCTTGTTTATTTTGTGGTTTGGAAAATGGTTGTAGGGCCATAACCAAAGGTGTTGGTGGACCAGACAAAAATGCAATATGAGGTGAGATTAAGGTTGGCTATTGATGGGCACGGGTTGGCCAAACCCCCGAGCAGACGCAATGTAGATTGGTGGCAAACATGGCATTGATCGATGGCTAGTGCAAGGATAGTCAACATTGTGGTTGTATGGCGAGAGTTCATCTGTTGAAAATAATGAAAAACACGGAAAAGTTGCTTAGGGTGCTTTTGAAAACATAGCGATTTATTTTTAAAGATAAAAAACCTTACAAAATACTAACCAAACATAGTTTTCTAAATTTTAAAAGTAAAAATAAAAAGTAATGTCAAACTTCCTAATCTTGAAAATATATAACAAACAATTCATTAGAATTTAACCAACTTAAATCAGGCCAAATAATTATCAAGATTTAACTTCTCCACAATTTACTATATCTAAATTTACAAGATTTAATAAATCCTGCTTGTAGCCAAACAGCCGCTAAAAGATATGCAAAGAAAACTAACCAAACTAGTGAACATGAACAAGCAGCAATGCAAGCCACTACACTTTGCCAATGTTAGTTATGAATCAACGAAACACCGTAGAAAAATGCTCCTTGATAACCAAATGCACAGTGATTTCGTACACCAAATCAAGAAATCGAACTGCATCTTCTATAAAGCACTAAATACAATAATGTAAGAGAGATAAGACACAGCCTAAAAGCTCCCCTCCCACCCCACCAACAAATAGCTAATACGTACAGAATGCGGAGCATGGACACAAACAAGTAAAACCCTAACTAAGAAAAAAAGGACTTTTGGGGTTGCTTCCCATCAACAAACCAATCAATTAATCAGCCTAAAATGTAGCCAAAGCTGATTCAAAGAAAGATGAATGAAAAAGCTCGCTCACTTAAAATCGCAAACACGGATCTCGCCTCCATCTTTGCAAACGAAACAGTAATCTTCGGACAGATCGTCCTTATCAATCGTTTTCTTCCGTCTCCCCATACAGTATCCCTTGCGGATCGTCCCGAGACCAACGGGATGAAAATCGCCCTCCTTTCCCGACTCCAATTCCTCGAATTTGTCCTCCAACGACACCTTCAGCTCCTCGGCACAGACTGTGGGCCTTTTGGCTGAACTCAAAACCCCATCGGCACTCCCGCCTTGCTGCTTCGAGGACAGATAGGGTGGCTCCATCGATTGAAGGAAGGAAGAGCGTAAGCCAACGGGTGAGCCGTTCATCGCCGGCACGATTGGCGCAATGAGAAACTCGGCGTCGGGGTGAATGAGCGTGCATCGGACCCACTAAGCCGTCCTCGGCGATGCGTGACCTCATAGTTCAAAATTAATTTATTTTTTGTTTTTTTCTTTTTTGTCCAAATTTGATGGGAATTTGAAATTTTTAAATTGCAGATAAATTTTTATTTTGATTAGTGAACAAAGCCCTACATGAGGTCCTAGTTAGATACCCATTGGGTACCCATGTTTTACTTGGACAGGCTTCACCCACCCACACCCCGCCCACCCACTCCCACCCATATTGACTTTTGGGATTTCGTACCCACCTATACCCACCCACTTTCCATGTTTTTTGAACACAGTCTGTCACGGAATGATTGGCCTTGAGACTTGTTGTCATTTGCTATGATGACAAACTTTCAAGTTGCATATCAAAATTTATCGTACTCATAACGTGGTT